ATCCAGTTCAACTTTCAGTAAATCTTGGTAGGTTTGTAGTACATTCACCCGGGATCACTGAAAACTCAGCCAAGATGTCAATAGACTTTATTCGGCTTACGTTTCGGCCTTGTCGCTTTCTCAGAACCTGGAAAGCCAAAGATAAATGAATTTATCCTTAACTACCACTTTAAACTCCAAGAACACTCCTATAGACCCAATGGCCCTGGAAAGCCTAGATGCTCCCCCCCCCCCCAAGCGGAATCAGAACGCCTACACCGTCTACAGACGCCATCTGTCGTCACCGTCGTCTCAGAAGGCTTAATGGAATCGCTCCAGCGTGGAACTGCTACATAATTTTCCAGTCGATACTGATGGATAGCTTCCCAGAATCAGTGGCTCTGAATATGCACTGCCCTGCCCAACCAGCGTTTCAGACAACGCCGGTTGGAAAGGGTACCGAGGACCTCGTTGAGTTCCAACCGTATGGCGTGTTCCCCTTAAGGAAATCTTCCACTTCCGTCAGGATAGAAGGTTGTTGTGAGTTTCTGCTAGATTGAAATGTGCTCTGCAATGTTCGGCTGTGATCGTTCGATTTCAACCTAGTGATTGTAATTAATACCGTTTTTAGTGTGTAGGGGGTTACCCTTTTCGCCCTCTCCAACTGTACATTTGCTCCCAATTGGCCTGCTGACCACTCCCTATCAGATAATAGCGCGACATTCAACGGCACAGTCTAAAAATTACTCGGTACTGATGTGTTCCCCTTTATATGAAGAGCAGTCCAGTTCATTCGACATTCCGTTCATAATCACAAGAATACATGAAAACGTATTCGTTCAAGGTCCTGGTATTTTCAAATGACGTCGAACACATTCCCTTAGCTTCGCAAAGAGAATGCGATAAAATCGAGTTTCGATCACCGCTTGCAGATTTAAAGGCATGGGTCGGGATCGAATTTATGCCTCATATTCTTCGAAAATTAGGCATAGAACCCAATAAGAAACATCATTTTGAAGAAAACAGAGAGCACCATGGAAAACACTGAACTTTCCCTTATGAGGCTGACCGTGGTATGACGAAGAGACACAGTGTTGCGGGGAGAGGGGAAACACGAGATAGTACGTCGTACGAGAGCGAGCAGAGAACACATGGTCAAAAACTGTGGCAGCACAGCAGCACGCAAGGGAAGGCCTTAGCGCCGTTGCCTCGCACTTTGAGTTGCGACAGTGTCGTGCCTCCTGCTAAGGACCCCCTTGTTCTCACCCTAGAAGGGCATGGCTCTGGGGACATAATCCTAACTCTGGATTTAAAGAAATCTTTGGCACTGTTTAACCTCACTCTTCAAGAACTGAGCTGGACTTTAATCAAAATTTATCAATGTTTACGGATTTGGCGAGGAAATGATCTCCAGGGGTACTTCAACCCATAAAACACCAATATCACAACAAATTAGCGCTAAAACGTCTAACGCCTGCGCTGCGAGCGCTGGCGGTACCACATAAGCTTTGCATAGGCACCAGTGGTACAGGCTACAGGCTCGCTGGCGAAAATTCATGTGATATTCATGTTCTAAAGTTCAGCTCCTCACACGACAAGTTTCCAGAAACTTTGCTGGTTCGGCCATGAGGTTCTGGCGCCTTTTGGCAGGGGAACTGTGACATGGGCGCCAGGCGTTTTCACGCTCAACGAATATTATATCTGTGTTCTACCGGTCGAACTACCCTGAGGCAAGTTTCCGACCAAATCCACAGTCACAGACGAATTTCGATAAAGCGGCTCAGTTCTTGGGGAGTGGGGCAATCCCCTTCCTCTTCTTCTTCGGAGATGACTTTAGAATTCCTGGAGTGGTCTGTGAAGACCGAGGAGATGTCTCACATGAACGTTGTATGGATAATCTGTGGGATCAACCAGACGAATCCGATGTTCTCTGGACCCTTACGGACGCGATCCAAAAGAAATGTGGCCAGCCGATATTCAAGAGTCTTGCCAAAAAGAAAGGAATTATGGTCGCTCATAGAGGGTCTTTGATCGGCTCGAATAGCGCTTCTCTCCCAGTACATCACATATGCTCAGCTATAGGAAGAGCGTATTAGGTTTCTAGAAATAAAGAAATGTTCAGAAGCTCTATCTTTGAGCCGTGGTTATAAAGTGCAGCCTTAGGTTGGTCTTAAGAGAAAACTCTTAAGTGCTCAGCTCATAGCCCAGTGGTTGGCCGTGGGTGGATCTCCTATTTCATGTATTTGTGGCTCTGGCCCGCGTCGCTAAGCTGTATGTGCGCAAATCTCGGTTTATTTTTCCTATGCTATTCCTTATAATCAGTGGATATAACTGATATTACTACATTTCTTGAGCGCTCACGAAATGCTCATGATATCACTTATTTTCAGCAATATCAAATCTCAGCACGCAGTTGTTGTTTGCCGATGAACGTAATACGGAACGGTAGCCAATCAACCTGTCAACTCATTCGTTAGCAATACACTGAGGTGTCAAGTATAAGTGGACACATGTGCAGTGCAGCATTATTTGTCCTACAAATTGTGAGAAAAATATCCGGCGTCAAGAATTTTCGGCATTCCTGGTTGAGCTCAGAAACTCTTCAATGAAAAATTTGAATATGTTTTTTATGCCACATAAATTACATATTTAGTTGGAACTACGCTCGGTTTTGCAAAGTTGAAATCTGAATCAAAGTGAAATTCGTATGTACTGATCGCCTAGTTATTTACCGAAAACAACTCTAAGCGGACGACTCTTCCCATACCTCATCGCTGTCAAATTTTTGTTCCAGTTAGTATCAGAGAAAAGGTCCTCAAGAAGGATGCTGCGATGTTCTGTAGTTCACAGCTGGCCGACATCAGTGAGCATGACTGACGTCCATCTCAAGGTGACACCCAATTGCGCTCGAAAATCATCGCGAGATGTCAACGTACCCAAGAGAATGATTTTTAATGTGATCTTATACTTGAAGACAGCAGGCCGAGAATTCAAGGACTTTATGACCGCCTGTACTGAAGGTTGTATCCCTGCATTGTCAGAACTTCTGTAGTGCTCCGGTTTGAAGGAATAGTTCCACCAACTAGCGTATCCATGAGGAGGGCTATAGCAATAGTTTGATTGCTTTACGGCCATGAACTAGCCTCGATGAGTTTGCTAGGTAACCATGTCTCGAGGAACGCCGTGTCATGTTGAGTTAAACTCTATTGACGGTTTTGCCAGGCCGTGGGTGGTACCGAGACGCTCAATATAATGGAGCTGTAATGTAGATCTCAAACTTACTATGCGAGACACGGGCCATCGCTCTAGGACCCACTTTGTGTCTTATTGGGACTATGCCTTCTGAAGAAGATAAAGAAAGAGGAGATGCTGTGATAGGGTGCATTTGTGAGAGCTCCCAAACATCACTTACAAAACGCTGAACCGCCAAGGCTCACAGTTGACGGATGTCCTGAGACCAGCGCTCAATATTGCATAGGCATTTTAGGCGTTTTTTACGCGAATGCACAAGGTCTTCAGCAAATTACGACACTTTCAACTTAATGAGCCAATGCAAATAGCAACCATGTCTTGCTCTTTTAACGTTCAGCGAAGATTTTGTGGTTACACAGTCAATATATTCCTAACAGAACAGACATTCCGTAGAACAGACTACCAGAGCCAACTTTTCACTGTTCATAACAGGTTGGTATATCTCGGATTAACTAAAAATAACTTTCTTAAAAGTGTTTCTATAGGTTCATTCAGACGTGCTGCAGTCAGTGTCACTCTCACAGCATAAATGTAAATTTTTAAATTTAAGCTATTATATTCTCATTTGACCACTATTGTAACTGATGTTCAGTTCGACTTGCTTACCTTATGCCACAGGTAAGATGAGTATCTCTTGAGATGATACTACAGGCATGACCTGGCGATATCATAAGTGTGGATTATGTATGTAACGTAGGTAATACCATGAGCACGGTGCACTCTTTTATCCCTAGATTTAATTGAGGCCACGGGTCCACTGCGGTCCAGTGGACACAGTATCTAGACACGCCTAGATTTTTCTATATATTCCCCATGATGATGTGTTCGTCACTTGAAAGACCTCCGGTGCCTATAAGGCAAAACTGATTCTACAGAGAAAATTGAAATTTTGACGAAATCCTCATTGTGTTGCAATAGAGGGTAAATCCATCAGGCCAGCCAGCCAGTCTAGCTGAATTGCCTGCTCATGCAGTAGGAGGTTTTCGACATTAGGTTCTGCAACAATGTGGTTATCGCTTACTTTTTAACACTGAGAATGATCCTATCTGGAGCATTTTCTGCAGAGGGAGACAACCTGTGATCCTTTAGAACGCTATTCTTGCTGAAGTCTACGAGAGCCTTCGGTTTTTCACTACACCAAGCAGTTTGGGAGCCTTTCTAGGAATTTGTCCTTTTTGTTATTTTTCAATATACCTGTGCCAGTACATCCACTGTTCTCAAACAATTTTTCGAGGAACTCTAAGCTGCACATGACAGGCTTGACACGACTTAGGTTTGACATTCCTCAGGTAAATGTCTTCAATTCAATTAATTGCGAGATATCTACTAGCTAAGTGCGCTTTAGGCAATCTTGTTTTCGTATTACATTATACCTGTGCCAGTACATCCACTGTTCTCAAACAATTGTTCGAGGAACTCTAAGCTGCACATGACACGTTCGACACGGCTCAGGTTTGACATGGCTCAGGTAGATGTCTTCAATTCAAGTAATTGCGAGATATCTACTAGCTTAGTGCACTTTAGGCAATTTTGCTTTTAGTGTTGTTAGGTGCACAATGATGTTTTTGATGGTGGTTGATGGCAAGCTCCGACGGCCCGTGTTTATCCGCCCCTTTTCGAATCTCCATCCGGCCCCTCTAATCCCCTTCGGTCTGGCTCCGCCTCTCAGGGTATATATGTAAGCAGATCGTGGAGCTCTACTGTTTCCACCCTACTGTTCATTTACGCGCATACACAAACATACACGGTACCCCGTAATCAGAACCAGTATGCTGGCTACACTCCTTGGGTTGTTCGTTGTGGCGCTTGCCAAGCCCAACTACGAGGTTTGTTTTGTTTATTGTTGCAGTACAATTGTTGTTTGATGATTTACTTATGCTACCTCTCTATGTCTGATAATTAGGACACCACATAAAATATGTAATATTTAAGGATCTGAAGGCCTCTGTGAGAAATTTGAACAATGAGCTGGACAAAGGTGAGTCCTCCACTCCCCTTGCAACTATTCCGCTGTGAATTTGGTTCTGAAAAAATCGGAAATTTTAAGCTCAACTTTCTCGAGCATTCGAGCTGAGATTTTCGAGCACTGAAATGGACGACAGAACCGTAGCTGCAGGCACAACAATTGACCTCAAATGTGAAGTCTATTCAGTTCCACCTCCAGTTTTCACATGGTACGTCAAATAGAGAAATTATTAAGGAATAAGTGGTCTGCCCACTTTTCCTATCTCAAACTCTAATATATGATATTCTAAAAATTAGTGAAACAAATCATTCAATTCCTCTTGTCGAAATACCTTTGGCTGTACCTCGATAATAGTAATGCTATGAGAATTTTTGGTCTGAACTCCATGGGAAAGAGAAGTCGCCTCCATTGTCTGTATTGTTATTGTAATCTTTTGAGGTTATTTATTAATAATGTGACTGAATCATCCCATTGAAAAAAAAATAACACCACGCCATTTCAATGGAATACTGTAAGCAAGCCCAATTATGGCTAATTACCATACCTTTCTCGTGTTATGTCGTACAGGGTTGTTATGATGAAATCGCTCCAAGGTCGCCATTCCTTGTCTTCGGCGATCTGCGATTCCATCGGCGCCACGTATCCACCTAAGTTCGCTTATAAACATGGAAAAGTCCTCGAAATCAGGGGATGACCCAGCGCTGGTAAAGCAGTAGAAAGACAAAAGCTTACTCAAAAAAACACTATTATTAATCAAATTTAAGAATCTGTTTCAGGACATTCAACGGCAAACGCATCGCTGGCACACAGGAGGCGAATCTTCTGGAGAAGCTCTCCAATGTCGGAAAACCCACACTTCAGAATGGTGTGGTAACGAGTCGCATCAGAATACCGTGTGCTGAAAAGAAACATCGTGGAAAGTACCGCTGCATCGCCAACAACGGTCATCAAACCATCGAAGCAACCGCTAAAATCGCAGTTGGTAAGTCGTCTGTGACTTCAACCCCGTACTACTCATAGCATACGTAACATTCGATCCAATACCCATCCACATCTGTCCGCTGACATATCCAATTTTGTTACGTACCCGTGTAATTGCTGTACTAGGAGTCCCATCTGAGCCCTAGCCTCGAAGTGACGTGATGAAAAATTACCTTCAAAAGGCAGATTCTTTCAAAAAATAGAAAAATGGGCGCTTATGACTTTGGCGAGGGGGGGGAGGGGGAGGGGATCTAAAACAGAACATTTGAAAATGCAGTGGTGAGACTAGAATTAACCCCGAAAGAGGGGGGAAACGACAGAGTGAACAATAATTACTCACATCCTCACCTTTAACCCCTTCCTCTCCTGAACTCACTCACTTGAATGTCTCCCCCTCACCATCAAAGACATGAGCGCCGAAAAATGTTTCATTTTTCAGTTGGAAATGAACAATGCGAACCAGTGGCGTTAGCTCCACCACAGATTATCCAGTTCACGGATTCCCGTTTCGAATTACAAGACAATGCTGTACAGCTGATGTGCAGGGTGGCGCAGCCTGGTGCAGCAGTAGCCTGGTATTTCATGAAAGATGACGAGTTCCGCGTCCCACTTCTTGACAACCCTGATTTCGAGGTATGTTTTCAACAATCCACAATGCTCAAAATCCGACGATTTAGCTCGGCAGGGCGCCAGAACAGACTCCGGGCTGTTCATTTCATTGTGTTAATGCATCCTTCTGGTGTACGAACTCAACCCTCCAAACTTCTAACGAAATTATTTTGTATATGTACCTCTATTCCTCTGGAAGAACAGCCATTACGTCACATTTTGAGAAACCAGAGGTCAGGAATGCGGTAGTTAAAGACCAATTGTAAGAATAGAGCATAAGCCTTACTTCCTGAGTAGAGAAATACGTGTGGGATTTGGAATGGGATGAACACAGTTTGATGTGCTAGAGTACGATAAATCTAAATCTATGGATGAGGCAGTGGAGAGTTCTTGAAGCCACTTTGGAGAACCGCGGTTCTCTCTGCAGGATTGAAACTAGTTTAGCCTGGTCATTAATCTAATTCATGCTGAAAATTAGTGGTCTGATAAGATATGGGATCATTTAGGATAATTCATTGGTGAAAAGTTCTGGTCACTCAGTTCTTCGACGCTATTACACTATAGAACCTCAGAAAAACTTACGTGTAGGGTTTTCAGGCTCTGGTTACGAGCATCAGCGTGAAGAATGATTGTTACGTTCATGATTGGTGAGCTAAGTAATCCTTTGCCTAGGTTGGTAACGAAATTAGTGCAAAAAATCGTGGCTCTGAACTGATTATCGTATCCCTTCTTTTCCAGCGCCTCGTTCCCCCTCTGCTCTGGGTTCGGCAAACTGAAAGTCACAAAAGCTAAAATAGGCCCTTATAAAAAATCAAACTAGACGCTATCGCAACACCCAGGAACTGACGGAAGTTAAAACTTGGTCAGATACCCTGGCGCTCCCCCCTCCCCACCCCCACCCCTGGCTAAGGCGTATTCTTAGCCTCGTTTATAACTAAAAATGTTTGACATAGATCCAAATGCGCTTACCTCCTCAGCGACCCCTCTTCTCGATGTTGTCAATACCGTCGTTGAACCTAATTTGTCCTGACATACACCAAATACGCCCCAAATTCCTTCAAAATTGTCGCGTTGGGATGGCAGGGGGTGGAGGGGGGGGGAGAGTAAATGCAACTGCCTCGCTGCTGAAGTAGTTTAGCACCGCTATACCACTTTTCCACCTATTCCAAACTGTTCCCACCCATCTACGACCCCAACTCCTTACGATTTCCTTTCAAAGAAATTTCGGTCGTGAATCGCCCTGATGGAGTGGTCAATGTTCGTGCTAAGAAGCGCATGTGAGCATCCTACCTATAGGGTTTCCTTATGGCGTGCTAGGACGCTAATCATCGTTCACATCTCGAAAAAAATGTTTGCTGAACAAACAACACAAATGGACAATGACAAGATTGCTGCATAGAACAAGCCGTTTCTTTTTAACTCCTTCACCCATGAGGCTCTGTGCAGGGTCAACTGAGGCGCCGAATTCTTGACCCTCTTGTTTTACCTAGGTCTATATCCGAAAATTTGTAAGCATATAAAAATAATACAGCTACGTTGCAGACCATCCATAAAACCTATATCAGTGGTTTGTAAGTAGTATGGGTTCTTTTCTACAATGCTTCCACTGAAACCAACTCGTTTAGAGTTTTTTGAATGGTTCAAACACCAACCTCTAACATACTGAGGAAGGGCACTTCTCGTGAATGGATCTGTTAAGTGTCAATGATACAGGTGCTACCAAATGGAGATCTCATGGTGAAACGATGTGATTTCGATACTCGCGTCGGTACCTACATGTGTATAGCAAGCAATGAAGCTGGTGAAGATCGAGCCGAAGCATGGTTGTACTGCAATTCACGAGAGCCAACAGATGAGGTTTGTAATTACGGTAGTAAATGTTGGGTCCTCACAATGAATGCTTCCAAATTTGAGAAAAATGACTCAAAAATGTTAGGCGTGGCACACGAGCTCCTATGGGTGCGTAACGATACGGTTTCGCATTGAAAAGTATGTTCACAGGAGTCTAACAGGGCCATATCTGCGCGCTCGCGCAGCTCGCGCTGCTGCTCTCCCACCTCCTCGCCGTCTGACTCTGGCCGTACTAGTAGAAAGAGCGTTAGCGTTGAAGAGGGCACCACCGATGAGAGTCGCGTTCATGCGGAATTCAGCGGGCAAAGATGTGCTCCCATTTAGGTTCTGGGCCGTTTTCTAGGATTTCTCGTCATCCCTGCTCCGTTGACCACCTCTACCTTACTTTCACAGGCTGTCTTTTCATCGTAAACTTCCTCTTTAAGACTTAATGATTGAATTTGTTGAAGATCAAATAAGATAGTCAATATTCAGGGCTGAGCGTTTCAAATCAGACTTCAAAAATTGCAATTTCAGACTTTGTGAGGGACCGAATGATGTTTGTTCTGTATGCGTCATATTTCAACACTGTGGATCGAGTACAAGCAGCCATATGTCGTTCACCATCGGCCGTCCTTCTAGGTGATAGGGCCACGTCTATGCACTGTATATCACCGAACAATTTCATCTAACTATGTCTCTGTGTCGATTGATGGCCATCCGTGTGGTGAAATGTAACCCAGTGAGCTCGAACTCCATTGCGTACTCTTTATATGGCGGATATTGTATTCGATGATCTCTCAAGTGTCGACATGTTCTCGTCTAGCGTTCTTTCTTCACTGAATGCCCACAATGCTATCGTACTCAAAAGAACCGAAGCAACCGTTGAGTCCCATGTCGTGAAGAATGAGTTTTCGTCCTATAGTATAATTCGAATCGGGTATAACACAGAAAATGAATATTGTATTCTTGTAACTATATTGTGACACCACATTATTTACTAGTTCAAAGCGTCGGAGAAATAAAACATATTGAATATATCTCGAATAATGTAGCAGATGTACTCTAGTATCAATAGTCCGTAAAACGGGTGTTGAGGTAACCCTGACCAGGCGATCGATCTAAAGATCACATTCCAGCTTGAATCTCAGGCCAACGAATCAATGCGATCTGATTGGATGGATATGATTGGATATGACTTGCAGACCCACCCTCCGAGGAATGGATACGCTCACTTTCGCTTCCCACTGGACCCGTCGTAAGAGCTAAAACAGACTCTTGGGCTGTGTAGATCCCGCGAGTCCTTGTAGTATACCCAAATCCACTTCAACTGTCGCTACCACATTGAAGTTAAAAAGCATGACAGATACCGAAACGATCATCTTCAGTTATAGATGACAATGCATCCCGAATACTGCTAATGTTTCCGGTAAAATGAGACGAAACGACACCTTAGGAAGACTACTTCGCTGCTGCGCAGGCAGCCTATGCGTGATCAACTGTTCAGCTTTTCTTCATCCCAGACGACCTCAGTGGCTGCGACACTTCTGATGTACCTACTCCGAGTTCTAATGCTAGTTGAAGTGCAGTTGGTCTGGATTCATATTCTACGGGAATCTTCAGAAGGCCGTCGTAGAAGCATGGTCATGACCCTCCTTCGCTTTACGATGGGGCTCTTCAAGACCACAATATGGAATGCTGTGCTGCGCATCTGAAGGTGCTCTTTTGGTGGTGAAACCTGCCCAGACTGCTGTCCTGACATTTTCAGTTCAACCCTATGAAAAGACATAAGATGACAAGTTGTACTAAAATTTCACATATCTGAAGGAATGATGATAAAACAGCCTACCAATGATATACAAGACCTCAGATCCTGAAAGAATTTCTGTGTTAAAATATCCCAAGCATGCATGGCATCTCGAAACCCGCAATGCTTTCCAAACAACCCAATAAGTGCATGGCAAGCTCATCGGTGGTTATGTGAACGCGAACTATGCCTTCGCACACGTAAATCGCACGAGGCCGTCATAATCTAGAGAAGACCTTAAGGCAGAGGTCAGCAACAAGAAAAAGTCCAAAATGGGGAGAAACGAAGTTTCACAAAATGATACGTATCTTATTGGATGTCTTTTCTTGGAGAATCGAACAGTATAATCCCAAGTTGGTTATTGTAATTGCATTTAAAAAGAGAAATAGGTTGGTTTTTGCTCTTTAGTACGTGTATTTAGAGTTCCACCACAGAAGAGACTCTTCCCTTAGGCATTTCAACATGAAGAATCGTTGAACTCCGACTGTTCAGCTCAAAGGATTCCTCAGTGTTCCATGAACTCGGTCTAAACGAATTATGACATAAAAAGCAGAAAGAAAAAGCAAATTTGCGATCTCCATAGAAATTTATGGACTATCAGGAGGAGTACCGCATGCTCATGCACTGGGGTGATGCTCCTCCATCACATGGAGCCTGTAGAAAGCTTCACAGTTTCCATTGCGGGTGGGCTGCTACACTTGCATTTGTTCAGGAGACAACTCAATTTGAAATTCCTGGGGATATTCTCTGTGAATGCAAAAACCGAAATCAGGAAAAGGCCATGTGGTCAGCAAAATGGCAAATGCAGTGCAGTCTCCCTAGCTTTCTTCTACCTTGGAAAAAACCGATTGTCAGCCAAGAAGCCCGATAGCCAAGAATAGCGTTCGAGAAACGGCTCCATCGGTAGAATTCCGCCTGAAGAAGGTATCCATTTGACTTTCATGGTCTTACTATGAAAATGTCTGTCATAGAAAGTGGGCTTAAAGGAAGTGGTCGCAATAATTCTCTTAGGGACGATAAGGAATTCTGTGCACTGGAGTGGATAGGGGTCCTGCTCAATGTTACAACACGTGAAGTTTCAGAGGCAGTAGCGCCTTATCAAGTGAGTGATGTGGCGCCGAAATCCACTTCCATTTAGCAAAAACCAAGACTTATTGATGTAGAAAGGGCTGCAAGGGGTGCTTGCTAGATATGATACCGTGATTGTCCGATTTTCGTTCTAGAGTCTACTTTATTCTTAGCGGCCGCATCTCCATATCTAATGATATCGCATCTTCAAGGGGGTAACTCTCGTCTGAACATAATCTATCTCAGACTTTGTCGGTTGATAACGCGAGGGTAGCAAATCCTGCGTGGAAGCCAGCGTGATAGCTTCCTTCACGGTTGCTCTGTAGCTTAAAAAAGAGCGTCCATTCCTCGGAAAACATCGAGAAGTCAAAAGTTTCTTTCCTTTCGAGTGGGCCTTAGCTCTTCCTGTGCCCTGACGTGACGTGGATTAGGCGCTGAAAGCGGTCAGCGCTTCAAAGTATTATACAATGATTTAGACTATTTACTATGCCTCCCTACAGTCTGGGGCACCCTGAGCGTACGTATTCGTTTCAGGATCGATCATCACTCGCTCTATCGACGATCATGATTTAACCACATGCGATTTATTTTGTTGTAGAGGTGGACGATGCCGTTGTTGTGGAAGTATCCGTTGACGGTGGTTTGGTCTCAACAACAGGCAGTATGCCGTAATCCGGCTCCAAACACTACTGAAGTGGCAGCCCGATGACGTGTGATACCACTCGGTATGGATCACTGCTAACGTGTAAACGTAACTTATTAGCACGTCTATTCCGGGTTGTGAAATGGCCTGCATGACGTGGCTTGCTTCCGCGCCACTGCAACATAGGACTGACGTCTGTTTTGTTGTTCCTGAAAGGGAATACATAGTCAAAAATGTCATAACTCTATGATTCGCTTAGACGAGTTACCTGACAGTGCTGGTTCCTGGTTGTGTTTTTGCTACTTGTGGAGCCAGAGGACTTGAAGAGGCTGAGATTTGTCAAGAGTTGTTTACGAGAAATGGCTCGGCTCGATTAACATTCCGTTGAATGAAAAGGAGTTCGATCGTGGCTAAGCAGGTTTTGATGATGCTTTAGATGGCGGTATCTTCTCACTACTTCCGAGGTTGCCGATGAAGCGTTCTGCCTGCCCGTAAGACTGCAGGTGCAACGGTAGAAATCCGATGTCTGATACTGCTTTTGCTGTCAGAGTCTTGAACTCTTGGTATGTAAACTCAGGTCTATTGCTCGTCACTAGCCTAGCTGAATATTAATAAGAAGGCGTAACCCTCCCTTCGCAAGGCACTATTTACCCTTTACTGCCCCACTCCTCAAGAACTGAGTTGAATTTTGATCGAAGTTCGTCTATGACTACGGATTCGGCTAGAAAGTTGTTCCCGGGGGTATTTCTACCCGTAGAACGCGAACATCACACGGGTTTAGCTGCGACTACGCTTGGCGCCGGCGCCATAACAACAGATTTGAGCGGGCGCCCGTAGCGCAGGCTACAGGCCCACTCGCAACGAACCAACGTGATATCCATGTCCTACGGGTCAAACACCTTTGAAGAGAGTTGAACCAATTTGGTGATCCGAGATGTTCTGGCGCTTTTTGGCGCCGGCGTTTCTGGCCTTTAGCGGTAAACGAAGGTGATATTCTTGTTCTACGGGTCGAATTATAGCAGAATCCACAGTCACGGACAAATTTCGATAAAACCCGGATCAGTTATCGAGGAGTGGGGCAGTAAGGGTGAATGGTGTCCTTCACACTGCTTTTGACTGCGGATAAAATTACAACAACTGTCGGTCATTCAATGTCAGCGCCGACAACTATGTAGAAATCCTCCCATCCCTGGGCCAGTGCAAGCGGCTGAAGTCATTTCCTCGCTTGTCCTCTTTTGGCCATGAGCACAACCTTGCTTTCGCTAGATTCTTGGCAGTTTCTTGGTGGCAAGGACCTCCTCCGACGAGTCGTTCAATGTCGAGTAAACTCGCCCAACAAGGAAGTTTTCTTTAGAGTAGTTTCGACCAATGCCATGACTCATACATGCTTGTTTATTCATTGTAAACTTTGCAAAATAACGCGTTCCAAGCTTATCCGGAATTTCCATGTGATCTTCGATGAGCCAGCATCCACTCGGAAATGAGAGTGAGCTAAGGCGACTGAATCGGCTTATGACATCAGATTTCTTGGGCCACTCTCCGCATCGCAAAATGTTAGAACAGAAATCCTTCAGAATTAACATTTGGTGATTTCTCGCTATTTTCCTGAGATTAACTAGCAACTTATAGATATCGCATTGAAGAATGTAAAGGATCAATTTATCGAGTGTTGAAATATCTGGATCTTCTCCAATTATCGACTGCTTCACTTCAAGTTAAAAAGCTAAGTTAAAGTTAAGCGAGTTGAAAACAAAAACTAAAAAAGAAAATGAAACCTCTGCATAATAGTGCTTCGTAGTGATGGGAGCTGCATAAAGAAAATAAAATGGAAAAAAAGCAAGAGAAGCCATCGAAAATGCTAAAATAAAGGCCTGAATTTCGAAAACTATAGTAAGGTAGGGTGTGAAAGGAGGGTAAGCCAGATCGACAAGAAAGGGCAAAAGACGCGATCGAGCGCGCCATATGGAGCGCTATTTTGTTCATCAATCGCGGTTTGTGGAAAGTGTTGCGATGGTTGCAAGTCCTCCA